TCTAATTAAAGATATTTACATTGTAAAACCAATACAATGAGCTATAAATACATGCAAAAACTGCTATAATACAAATAATCAAGCTTACGTTTACAGAACAGTGCTGTTAATATTGGATTTTTCCTATTTTAATCTGAATTTTAACTGTTTTCACTGATAAAAACAGTATTTTGACATTTAGTCAGTGTTTTTGTTGTAAAAACTTCCATAATTACACAAGATATCTGTCAATTAACAAAAGAATCAAAATTACAGAACAATATATAGATACGGTTGATTGTCACCAAATTTACATAATTTGATCAATGTTTTGTGAGCTGCTGTTGTTGTAGTACCAGAAGGAACCAGAAAGTGTGTTTCAACCCGCAGGAACTATTTGAGTCCAAAGACATCGCCATCAAGGCCTTGAAGGAAGACATGTCTCGAGATTTAAAGGTTGGTCATCAGTTATCTGGTGTGATTTCATGCATTTGTGTCATTGACTGGTCAGTTTATGATTTATTTATTGATCGGCAGGAGTATGACAACTTGGTGAACAAGGTGAAGGCTTCGGGGACCTCTGTGAGCGAGCAGCTCCCACGGGGCGAGATCAGAGCATCCATCAGGAACGCCTCAGAGGTCGGTTGTTGTTTGATATGGTTCCACTCACTTCGGCTGGTGCTGGCGTGTTTTCATGAAATAAACCTGTGATTGGCAGAACTTTGACAACGTGATGCAGGAGCTGAAGACTTTGAGAGTCTCTGAGGAAAAGGAAACCCCAGCGGGACCGAGCCTAAACTCTGAACTCTCAGGTTTGCACTAACCTGCTCTTCCTGGATATTTTCCTATCCACTTTCATTCAGTCCCTGATGGTTTAAAGTGTGTAAAATCTATAACATCTATTGTCAGAAATGTAATATAATATTAATAGGTAGGTTTTCATTTGTGTATAATCACCTAAAAATAATTATTGTTGTGTTTTTGTTACTTTAAAATGAGACGTTTTTATCTGTACAGGATCTTCTGGCGGAGTCCTTCATGTTGAACCGTAGTTTCTCCTACGCGCTTGGAACTGGAGGGTGAGGCAAGGGCGTTGTAATCTGAATCTTAGGTTCTGGAAAATTAAAGAGACATTGACGATGATTGCAGATTCTGAAGTATTATTATTCATCCAAAACCCTGATTTCTGCAGTGCAAACAATACATAACCTAAAATCTATAATATAAACTAAATCAAACTCAAATGAAATATCCTTTCAGTTTTATAGATTTTTAGTCCTTATATGAGGGGTTCCCAACCTGGGGGTCTGGACCCCATGAGGGGTCGACAAAGCTTCACAGATACACAGTAGGTCTATATCTCAGCAGTTCATTCATTTGTGTGCCATTCCTGTAAATTAAATTATTATTATTATATATATATATAAAAAACATTATACAGACAGAATTGTATAAAAATATCAGTACAACTAATTTTTGATCAATATTAACAGGAAATAATGAAATCTCTGGTTTTACACAAACTTCCTGCAGTTATTGAGTTCAGTGGGTTCATTGAGCAGTTTATCAGCTGTTCTCTACTGTTATTGATATTGTTGAATATAATATGAAATATGCATCAAATAAAGTCAGTTTACTGACAGATAAATGATATAAAAGGCCTTCAAGGAAGAATATTGGGAACCACAGCCTTACAGTTAGTGTCTTGAAGCAGTCAGAATTATTAGTTTCAGCTGCAGGGAGGATTCTGTCCACCGGAAGGCGCTATAGAGACCGTATGAGATTATTCACTCAGTGCTGCTGTGAACTGGTTGCTGAAGTTCCTGTCCTGAATCAGATGGACTTTTATTATTCACTTAATCCTTTAAAGAGGTTTCTGCAACCAAACTGTCTCATTTCTCTCGCTTCTTGAGAAAAGTTTAGGTTTTTATTATTCAGATCATTTTACACTGAGTGAAAGCAGATCGCTGATTTCTCCCCACCAGGTTCTCGTTGGTGAGTTATAGGGACCCAAAGTGACCTTGAACCTGAATGATGATGGAGAACCAAAGCTAATTAAAAGGATCTAATTTATTTATGTGAAATAAAGGTCAACACAATAGCATCATTAAACTCTTTATCCCAACATAAATGGTAATTATTCAACTTTGTTTGGTCTTTTGGGCTCTTTTTAAAATAGTTATAATTGATTTTTAATTAAAAAATCACAGTGACTGTATGTTACCCTTCTTTCAGTCAGTGAAACACAGGTTCCCCGTTCCCTCTTCCATCCTCTCTACATCAATATACACAGTGAAAACTGTTTTAACCAACTCAATTTTGTGCTGTGAGCTCCATCAAGAAGGTTTTTTATTTACAAAATTGACTTTGTGTCACTTAAACCTTTTTTTATGATCCTTTACAACATTTTTTTTACTTAAAATAACTAAATTGCATTACAGTGTATCTGTAATCTCAATCGTAAGTACGTTTTTTAATTGTAACATCTGGTTTTGTTTGTATATAACCAGTGTGAGGGCATTGATGTTTCTGTTTTCCAGGACCTTCTGATCGAGTCGAGCTGCATCACTTTCAAACATTTTACACTTATTTATTTAATTTTACTGTTTTACTGCAGAGAACGTCGCCGTCAACATCATATTCACTGTCAGTTATCATATTGTAGAGGTAATACGTTTTAATTACTTTGTTTTTGTGTCCTCATTTCAAAATCTGGCTACTTTATTTTTTTATTATTTTAACACTTTCTATTTAAACATAAAGTCCTGATTCTTGTCTTTTCCTTCTGTGTGCAATAAATTAACACAATTTTATTTTATTTTTAGATATTATTTAATGTCAGTGCAAATAATTTGGGATTAATCTGACCTGTGAAACTCCAGTGTGAACTGAGAGCAGTTGGGATTATTACATAAACACTTAGAGACAGTTCATTAATGCAGATTCTGTATTAACTGTATGATAGATTCAGGTCATTTTCACAGCAACAATATTTTAATTATCTGTTGCGTTTCTCAATTATATTTGCTCCTTTATTCCCTTTAATACCAACAAAGGCAACAGAATCTTATTCCTTTACCTACTCTACATAATATATTATTATTATTATTATTGCTTTCCCTTCTCTTACCAAAAGGAATAACTATTCAATGTTAACCCTAACCCTAACCCAATATCACAACTTTATTCTCACAATATTATGACTTTATTCTCGCAATGTTACCGACTTTATTCGTCCGGAATGTTACGACTTTATGTCTGCGCAAATGTTACGACTTTATTCTCGCAACTATGTAATCCAATCCAATCCACTTTTTATTTTTCAAGCGCCGCTGTTG